TGCATTCACAGAGGCCACGAAGAAGAAAGAAAGGTTACTTACCTGTAACTCTGGTTCTTCGAGTGGTCCTCTGTGAATTCACACGTCCCGCCCATCCTCCCCTCTTTCCGTCACGGCTGTCTCACCTTAGAGCAGCAGCGGAATTTGGGGAACTGAGGTAACTGTTAGGACGGGCGGATCATGAGGTCCTGGGGGGCGGAGCCAAAAGTGTTACTTTAAGCTCTAGAATATTCCGAGGCCTCTGCACAAGTGCAGATTTAACCCATTAGTGTGAATTCACAGAGGACCACTCGAAGAACCAGAGTTACAGGTAAGTAACCTTTCTTTCTCAGTGTTAGGAAGACCATCCTGGCAATAAGGACACTTCAACAGTGGAAAAGACTTCTTTGTTAAAGGTATTTAAACAGATGTTAAATAGCCATTTGTCAGGGATGCTTTAGCTATGGATTTCTTGCATCAGCAGTTGTTATTTTACATGACCTCAATGGTCACTTTCAATTCTATAGTTCTTTGATTTTAAATGTTAGGCAAATCATCTCATAGAAGATATTTCAGTATCTCTAAAGAAATCTGTAACATCCATTGGTTAAATATGAGAATAACACAAGGTGTACGGTATTTCATATTTTGGCAGGTATCCCTGGCATCAGAGGACTCATTGGACTAGATGGTTTACCAGGTACTAAGGGCTTGCCTGGATCACCAGGTAAGATCAGTGCATATATTGGCTGTTACTAATAAGATAGTAACATTTTAAATTGCAGACATCTGACTGCAGTGGTTATGAGATTTGTTTTCTAAACATTGAGTCAGCAGCCATGACTTCCATATGAATAAGTGAAGTGTGAAAAAATGAATTTTAGTGAGATATCACTTACTTTAGAGGAGTAACATGAGGACTGCAAGATATCACACTTGTATATATGTGTATATTTTGCTCAACAGGTCCAGATGGCTATGGCCTACCAGGTTTTCCAGGTATTTGGGGTGAGAAAGGTGCTGCAGGAGATCCAAGTTCTATTGAAGGCAGTAGAGGACCACCAGGTCAGAGAGGAGAAAGAGGAGATCCAGGTGAGTGTACCGTTTGCTTTTTTAAATACAGTACATAAAAGCATCATTGACATGCAGAATTGTAGATGGTGCCATCCTCCTCCCAATTACTAAAATATTCTTAAGCAAAACAACTACTGAGTTATAAGGAAACACAACTGTTACATGAATTCATATACAATGCAAAGTTGTGCATGTGACTTTTTGAGGGAAGCTGCAGTCTTTTATTCATACCCATGTCTAGTATGAACAGATCTACTCAATAGCATGGAGCATTTTAGATCACAAAATAGTCACAGTAGTAGGATATAAAACAGATTAAAAATTATATAGCATTATACACACACACACTATTTTCTGATATTAGTTTTTATATATTTTGGTCAATGTAATTGAACAGTAAAAATAAAAACTTTATTTTAAAGAGAGACTGGAGACACTGCCCAGTATATCTTTATAAAGTATTCAATTCTAGATCAAAGTCGCCACCCAGAATCCTATTACTTATGCCACCTGTGTAAATCCAACAGCATAAATTTAAGGAGCAAATTACTTAGTGGTAAGAAGCAAATATACCCATAGAAGATGGAGTCAGGAGGCCTCGGTTCAAATCACTGCTAGCCATGGAAATAAACTGAGGGTGTTGAACTGGTAAAATTGCTCCTTAAACATCTCGCTTACTTTGTAGCCCTATTAGGGTTGCTGTAAGTTGGTTCAGACTTCATGGTATTTAACAAGAAGCTAGTGCCAATTGCCATGCACTGGTCATGTGACATAGCACACAGCAGGAAATGCAAGCTTCAGCTCTTCAATGAACAAATTAACTGTGGAGACTTAGACTGACAGGTGCAAGTAATAGGATACTGAACACCAATTTCTGTTTGTTTTTTTTTAATGTCTGCATAGATAAGATCAGGAGAGCAACTAGTGTGGGTCACAGAGCAAAAGAGGGCTGGGCAGAACCAAACCATGCTTCATAGAATCATAGAATAGTGAAGTTAAAAGGTCATCAGGTCCAACCCCCACTTAATGCAGAAATACAAATCAAAGGATGTCTGCCAAGTGGTTGTCTAAGTTCCTCTTGAATGCCGCCAGAGTTGGAGCACTCAACACTTCTCAAGGTAATTTGTTCCACTGTCTTACTGTTCCACTGTCTTACGGGAGGTTTTTCCTGATATTCAGTCGAAATCTGGCTTCCTGTAAATGGCGTCCATTGTTGCATGTCCTGCACTCTGGGATGATCGAGAACAGATCCTGCTCCTGTCAAGTATTTGAAAAGTGCTACATTATCACCCCTCAATATTCTTTTCTCAAGGCTAAACATGCACAATTCTTTCAGTCTTTCCTCATAAGTCTTGGTTTCCAGCCCTGATTATCCTAGTTGCTCTTCTCTGAACTTGTTCCAATTTGTTAGCATCCTTCTTGAAATATGGTGTCCAGAACTGGACATAATATTCAAGGTGAGGCCTAACCAATGCTGAATAGAGGGGAACTAGCACCTTGCGGGGTTTGGAAACTATACTTCTGTTAATACATCCTAAAATAGCATTTGCCTTTTTTTCAGCCACATCACATTTTTGGCTCTTATTCAGCTTATTCAGGATCCTTCTCACTTGTAGTTTTGCTGAGCCAGGAATCTCCCATCTTGTGACTATGCATTTGGTTTCTTTTTCCAAGGTGCAGTACTTTGCACTTATCCGTGTTGAATTTAATTCTGTTGTCATAGCCCAGCACTCCAGTGTATCAAGATCATTTTGAATTTGTTTCTGTCTTCCAGGGTATTAGCTATTCCACCCAGTTTGCATCATCCACAAATTTGACAAGCATTCTCTGCACTCCCTCATCCAAGTCATTAACAACAAAAATGTTGAAGAGCATTTGTACCCCATTTGTTACCTCCTCCTAGTTGGGAAAGGAGCCATTAATCTTCAAGTACGATTCTGTAGCCAATTGTGTATCTACGCAACACTTGATCTATCCAGCCTGCACCTAATCAAGATATCATGGGGCACTTTGTCAAAAGCTTTGCTAAAGTCAAGACATACTATGCCTACAGCATTCCTTATCTCTATCAAGGAGATTACTTGATCAAAAATAAGATCAGATTAGTCTGGCAGGATTTGTTCTTGACAAATCCATGTTGGCTTCTAGTTATTACTACAGTGGTGCCTCGCTTAACGAGTGCCCCGTTTAACAATGAATCCGCATAGCGACGCGTTTTTCCCGATCGCTAATGCGATCACATTTCGACGTTCTCAATGGCTGAAAATCGCATTGCGATGATCGGTAAGCATTTCGCTTACCGATCTTTGCATTGCGATGTTCTAAAAACAGCTGATCGGCGGTTCCAAAATGGCCGCCGGATCAGCAAAATGGCCACCCACAGCGTTTTCGCTCCCTGCCCTCGCTTACCGGACAGCGAAAATGGCGACCGGATGGGGGAATCTTCGCTTACCGGTGAGTTTTTTCCCCCATAGGAACGCATTAAACAGAGTTTAATGCGTTCCTATGGGGTTTTCTCCCCCGCATAGCGACGAATCCGGATAGCGTTGTTAATCCTGGAACGGATTAACGTCGCTATGCGGGGCACCACTGTACATAGTTTTCTAGGTGCTTGGACAATGACTGCTTTATAATTTGTTCCAGAATTTTCCCTGGGATTAACATCAGGCTGACAGGCCTATAGTTCCCAGGTTCCCCCCCCTTTTTTTTGAAGATAAGGACAACATCAGTCCTCCAATCCTCTGGCACCTCCCCCATTTCCCATTATTTCAAGAAAATAATGGATAGCGGTTCTAAGAATTCTTCAGCCAATTCCATCAGTAGTCTCGGACGCAGTTCATGCAGCCCTGGGGATTTGATCTCGTTCAAGGTGGTAAAGTATCCTTGACTATTTGTTTATCAATCTTTAGCTACAATCCTGTTCCCTCCACTTACACTTCACATTTATCTGGAGGTTCATAGTTTGTCCTATGGGAAAAGACTGAACTAAAACAGGAATTGAGCACCTCTGCCTTTTCCTCGTTGATTGTAATCACTTTTCCATCTCCATTCAGTTGTTTTGCCCCCCTTTTTAATTTTTCTTTTGCTTTGCCCATATGTGAAGAATGCTTCTTCTTCGTGGTCTCTGTGAATGCACACTAATGGGTTAAGTCTGCACCTGCACAGAGGTCTCCAGAATATTCTAGAGCTGAAAGTTCACTAGGACCACCCCCTGTAGCCCACGTGGTCCGCCCGTCCTAGCAATTACCTCAGTTCCTTTTTGCCGCTGCTGAGGTCTCATCTCTTGAGCTCCGTTCACACAAATTGCTTCTTCTGAAAAACGGATTGCTTTTCTACAAAATGTTCCTATTACTACTTGATTGATTTAAATTGTACCTCCCCCCCTTCAAGAAGTGTATTTTTTGCACAAATAAACTGCCAGTCTCTGACAGACACAACACTTGCCTGTTTTGCCTTGGGGAATCACACCAACCATCCACTTGCTCTAACTGCAAAAAACTTCACCAAACAGACCATTAAACTCTGAGAGCAAAGACTTAGATCCTTCCTGTGGGAGCAGTCCCTTCTACCCCCGCCTAAAATGGACAATCCTCAGGTTCCCCAATTACCGGCTTCCTCAGCGACCAACTCACTGCTACAATCCCTGAAAGCCAAATCCAAACCTCCTAAATCTAAATCATCTGGCTCTACAACTCATTTTACCCCGTCACCCAAATCTATACTGAAGACTACCAGTACCAAACCAAAAAAATTTAAGAAACCATCAGCTGAACCACAACTTTCAATCCAGTCCTCGTTAGTACCGAGCCATCCAACCATCAACCTCGACACCGAAGGAGAATCCATCCCGCCACCTTTGGGACAGCCACATTCGCCTTTACTTGCCCGGTCCCCATCCTAAGCAGATACCTCGGCTGAAGTAAACGCCTTACAAGATTCGGCCTGTTCGAGCCCCAAATCTTTGGCTGTCAGGGTGTGAATCTGGATCGATGCCCATTCCCAATCCAGTTACCATTAAGAAAAGAAAGACTAAGCTCCACCATACTGTCACGTTCCTGGGGGTTACAACAGCCGAAGTCCGATAAACCAGTCCAGGGTCAAGAATACCAAGAATGCAAAGCCAATGTCCATAAATTAACTCACAGAAGGAAGTCCAGTGTCAGAGTCCAGTGTCAGAGTCCAAAGTCCAAAACCGGCGTAGTTCAAGGGCAGAGTCCAGAGTTCAGGGTCAGGAACAAGATGCAAGAAGCGTGGATGCAAGCCAAGGTTTTGACTCCTTGCTTCCACGAAGTTTCTGGCTTCACTGGAAGCTTGTTTTATAATGAAACAGCTCCTTGAGCTGCTGGAAAGCTTTCTATTCTGCTAGTACTCAGGACTAGATGAACGTAGGTCTCTGTGGAAAGCCTTTGAGCGATCCTGTGATATTCTTGTCCTAAGTCTCTCCCGAAGCCTGCCCTGAAGCCTGTCTGCTGTGGAGGGAGAATCTGGAGGCGGTTCAGGTGTTTCTGATCTTTCCCCATTCTCTTCAGCCACAGTTAACCCTTCTGGGTCCAGGTCTTCGGTAGCACTCATGACACATACCAATTACTTTGGCCGCTCTGATACCGTGACTTCCAGCCTCCAAATCATTTGGGACTGCCGGTATTGCCAGGCTCAAGGGCTCATTGTCATTGGACCAGACATGTTATGGTTTATGAGCCACCGGTGTATTTTGAACCATCACCTAAACTGTTGGTACTGGCATCATGGTATGGGGCACTTCGATCCCCGTATCAGATACGAGTACCCATCCGACTCTTCTGAATCATCTCCTCTGTACCAGCCTGAGTATTCCTACGGTGAACCTTCGGATGTCTATGCTTCTCCCATTCCAGTACAGAAACACCACATGCAACACAAGCAACACATGACTTCAACATTGCTCCAGCCGGTACTGAAGAAGTCCAAGACATCTCAATACTCCATACTGACTCACTCTTGAGACTGATCATTTTCAGTACAGGCCACGACAACTTATG